TGACGCACTCAGCCGTTAGTCGCACATGTTCCAACTCGTCGGCCGCTCCTTCCCACGTCAGACCGCTTTCCTCGTCGCCCGCGCTTTCCCTCATCACCCTCCCCGACCCTCTGGTCGCATATTTTCCCCTAGTCGCCCGCGCTTTCCCACGTCAACCACACATCCCCTCGTCGCAATTGCTGATAGTAAACATACCGCGCTTCAGATCGTCACCCGCGCTCCCCTCATCACCCTCGTCGACCCGCACCGATCCTCGCCGCCCTCACCTCCCTTAGTCACTCACATTCCCTCTCGTCGCTCGCGCTTCCCCTCATCACCCTTGCCGACCCTCGCCGCCCTCGCCTCCCCTCGTCGCCCGCGCGTCCCGTCGTCGGGCTTGCCTCCCAGACACTCGCGCTTCCCCTCGTCATCCGCGTTTCCATCCGCTCTTCCCATCTCACCATCTCCAGCCCGCCCTTCCTCATTCCTTCCGAAGGGGTGGGACAGAGGGGGAGGAACAGATGGGGAGGAACAGATGGGGAGGAACAGATGGGGAGGAACAGATGGGGAGGAACAGATGGGGAGGAACAGATGGGGAGGAACAGAGGTGGTCGCTTCCGCCATCACAATCGAACAGCGTTTCGATCCCCTCTCTGCTCCCCACCATCCTCCCCCCAACTCTCTCCCCGGCATCTGCCCCCGTTCCCCCCATCCTCTTCCCTGTTTCCCCGTATCCCCTGCCGTGCTTCCCCCCATCATATCCCCTCTTACCCCGTATCCCCTGCCCTGCTTCCCCCCATCCCTTCCCTGCTTCCCCCCATCCCCCTCCCTGTTTCCCCCCATCCCCTTCCCTGTTTCCCCCCATCCCCTTCCCTGCTTCCCCTCATCCCCTTCCCTGCTTCCCCCCATCCCCTCCCCTGCTTCCCCCCATCCCCCTCCCTGCTTCCCCCCATCCCCCTCCCTGCTTCCCCCCATCCCCTTCCCTGCTACTTCCCATCCCTCCCCCTGCTTCACCCCATCCCCTCCCCTGCTTCCCCCATCCCCTTCCCTGCTTCCCCCATCACCTTCCCTGCTTCCCCCCATCCCCTCCCCTGCTTCCCCCCATCATATCCCCTCTTACCCCGTATCCCCTGCCCTGCTTCCCCCCATCCCTTCCCTGCTTCCCCCCATCCCCCTCCCTGTTTCCCCCCATCACCTTCCCTGCTTCCCCTCATCGCCTTCCCTGCTTCCCCTCATCCCCTTCCCTGCTTCCCCCCATCCCCTCCCCTGCTTTCCCCCATCCCCCTCCCTGCTTCCCCCCATCCCCCTCCCTGCTTCCCCCCATCCCCTTCCCTGCTACTTCCCATCCCTCCCCCTGCTTCACCCCATCCCCTCCCCTGCTTCCCCCCATCCCCTTCCCTGCTTCCCCCCATCACCTTCCCTGCTTCCCCCCATCCCCTCCCCTGCTTCCCCCCATCCTATCCCCTCTTACCCCGTATCCCCTGCCCTGCTTCCCCCCATCCCTTCCCTGCTTCCCCCCATCCCTTCCCTGCTTCCCCCCATCCCCCTCCCTGTTTCCCCCCATCCCCTTCCCTGTTTCCCCCCATCCCCTTCCCTGCTTCCCCTCATCCCCTTCCCTGCTTCCCCCCATCCCCTCCCCTGCTTCCCCCCATCCCCCTCCCTGCTTCCCCTCATCCCCTTCCCTGCTTCCCCCCATCCCCTCCCCTGCTTCCCCCCATCCCCCTCCCTGCTTCCCCCCATCCCCTTCCCTGCTACTTCCCATCCCTCCCCCTGCTTCCCCCCATCCCGTTCCCTGCTTCCCCCCATCCCCTCCCCTGCTTCCCCCCATCCCCCTCCCTGTTTCCCCCCATCCCCTTCCCTGTTTCCCCCCATCCCCTTCCCTGCTTCCCCTCATCCCCTTCCCTGCTTCCCCCCATCCCCTCCCCTGCTTCCCCCCATCCCCCTCCCTGCTTCCCCTCATCCCCTTCCCTGCTTCCCCCCATCCCCTCCCCTACTTCCCCCCATCCCCCTCCCTGCTTCCCCCCATCCCCTTCCCTGCTACTTCCCATCCCTCCCCCTGCTTCCCCCCATCCCCTTCCCTGCTTCCCCCCATCCCCTGCCCTGCTTCCCCCCATCCCCTTCCCTCCTTCCTCCCATCCTCTTCCCTCCTTCCTCCCATCCCCTTCCCTGCTTCCCCCCATCCCCTTCCCTGCTTCCCCCCATCCCCTTCCCTGCTTCCCCCCATCCCCTCCCCTGCTTCCTCCCATCACTCTCATTCGCCTTCCTCCTGCACTCACTCTCTCAGTCCTCTCGCACTCTCTCTCTCTCTCTCTCTCTCTCTCTCTCTCCGTCCTCTCGCACTCGCACTCTCCTTCCCCTCACCCTCTCCCCTGTTCCCACTTGCCCTCCCCATCCCCGCCTTTCCCTCCCTGCCCTGCCCTTCCCTTCTCCATCCCTTCTCAACCCTTCCCTTTCATGTCATGCCCTCCCCTTCCCCCTCACCTTCCGCCCTCTAGTTCCCATGCATGTGCACCCATCACTGTCTCCCCATACCAGTACATGCTTTCATCATGTGCGCTTGCTTGTGTTCCCCTGCAGTTGTTCCCTTGGCACCTCACACCACCCCCCCCATGTTCCGTCACACAATTCTTTCTGCCTACTCCACTCCCCAAATTTTCAGTGGTGAAGCAGAGGAGCAAGCTGAGGCGCAGCTAGAGCTAGTCCATGCTTTACACCGTACCACCACCTGTTTCTTGCCTGTTGTATGCAAGCATGATACTGTATTACTGTTGGAGATATCCATCTCAAAAGCACAATATGTAATTTTGTTTCTGCAGTGCAATATATTCTTCCAAGATGCATGGGCACTAAGAGTGTCAGAAGGGTAGATAGAGGCATGATCCTGATACTTTTGATTGTACCCTTCTCAAGGCCTGGAAAAAAACATGAGGGGAACTGGTTTCTCTACGAGCGTGGCATGGGATGATGGGCTTCGGCGAGTTGCTGTGCCAGAAAATCTTCATTGGTGTCACTGCACTACCCAGGGAGAGGGAGGGAATACGAGGGATGGGGAGGGGGAACAAGACTAAAGTCAAACAGGGGAGATAGGGAAGAGGGGGAAGAGGGAAGCAGGGCTGAGAGGGAAAGAAGGAAGTACCGTAAGAAGAGGGAGGGAAATGAGGGGAAGCAAGGGGGGAACTGAGGAGAAGCAGGGAGGGAAATGTGGGGAAGCACGGATGAGGGGAAGAAAGGGTGGGCCATGGGCCTAGAGGGCCGTGAGAGAGGGGGGGGGGTGGACTTGAGGGACGGGAGTGGCAGGCTGGAGGGGAGCAGGAGAGGAGGAGGGGAGTGGCATGGGGAGCAGAGCAGAGCAGCATTGCAACCTGCCTGCAGCGTCATCCCCCACGGCGGAGATGAGGAAGGGCGCGGCGGAGAGTGCTGCCATGCACTCCGCTATGTTGTGCGCCCCCCCCCCTGCGAGGAGGAACAGGGGAATGGCGCGGCTGGCAGAGAGAAAGGAAGGAGGAGGGGGGGAGGGGGAGAGGGGGAGGGGCGGGACACACATGAGAGGTTGAGACATGCCGCAGTGGACGACACTCCCCCCTCGAATTCCTTTCTCCTGCCCTCCCTCCCTGCCTCATGCGGGAGGAAGAAAACGGGTGGGGGAAAGGGAGGAAGGGGACAACCATGAGGGGTAGGGGTTGGAAAGGGGCGGGGGCGGGTGGAGGTTTGGCGAGAAGGGGAATAGGAACCAGAGGATAGGGCGCAGAGCATTGGGCGCAGAGCATAGGGCGCAGAGCATAGGGCGCAGAGCATAGGGCGCAGAGCATAGGGCGCAGAGCATATGGCGCAGAGCATAGGGCGCAGAGCATAGGGCGCAGAGCATAGGGCGCAGAGCATAGGGCGCAGAGCATAGGGCGCAGAGCATAGGGCGCAGAGCGCAGGGCGCAGAGCGCAGGGCGCAGAGCGCAGGGCGCAGAGCGCAGGGCGCAGAGCGCAGGGCGCAGAGCGCAGGGCGCAGAGCGTAGGGCGCAGAGCGTAGGGCGCAGAGCGCAGAGCAGAGGGGGCAGAGCGCAGGGGGCGGAGGGGGCAGAGCGCAGGGGGCAGAACGCAGAGCGGAGGGGGCAGAACGCAGAGCGCAGGGGACAGAGCGCAGGGGGCAGAACGCCGGGGGCAGAACACAGAGCGCAGGGGGCAGAGCGCAGAGTGCAGGGGCGCGGAGCACGTGTACCTGTCCTGGCGTGGTGGTGCCTCGTTCCAGCGCCCTCTCCACGCTGCTTGTCGACCAGACCAGTGCGCGCGCTGGACGTTTGCGGGTCGACGCGCTGCTAGACGACCAGTGAAGTTTGCGTAACCCTAAGGGTCTGCGTAGTGTGGACGCCCCACAGCGTGGAATTGCCCTAAGTAATAGGCACTTTCGAGCCCAGTTTACGGGAGCAATGCCCCGAAACCGTCGACCTACGTGCTGCCAGTGGTAATCGACGTGCCTAATACAACACGAAGTACTCCCATATCGCGCGATGTCGAGTTCTTCTCAACGCTCCTTCCTGCGACCCAGCATGTACGTGTTCTGGCTCGTCACCTACGTCACCTCCTTCCTGCGGTTATTTCACACGTGAAGTTGTTAGCTTGATTGATCGTGGTGTTTTTTCTCCTCACTCGTTCTGAGGTTGTTGGTGCTTCCCGTTTTCGTTTTTGCTAGTAGTTGCATTGGGCAAGGATGTTCTCCACTTCTTGATCCTGATTGGTCAAAGAACAATCCGTGCGACACTCCTTCCAGTCGCCCCACACTGCCCTGCAAGTTTGTCAAAGCTTTGCGTTTGGCGAGACCCCTTTCCTCCTCGTCAGTCAATCGCTTTTTCGCTACACTGACTATGCCGAAATAATTGTTTTTCAGGTTTCGCCAACACTATTTCAAACCCACATAACTTGATAAAACACCATGTGGTACTCGGGCTTTAAGCTTGCCATTCACCCTTGTGCTCATATGTATAATAAGTTTTGGTGCCTCTCACAGCTGTCAAAATTTATGTCCCTTTCATATGCGCTGGCAGAAAATTTCTGTCCCTTTCACAGCTGTCAAACTCGAGACGCTCTTCATTGCTTGGTTCTTGATCTTGATTCCTCTCGACAAGTACCTGCTTTGCTCTCACTCCTTTTCCTCCCCAAACCAATTTCTTCTCTAGCTATTCTTCCTCACACCCCGCCGTCGCCAGTACCTCCCACCCAGCCGTCGCTCTCCCTCCCATCCCTCGTATCCTCTCCCTCACTCCCCGCCGTCACCTCTCCCTCCCACTCCGCCATCGCTACTTCCTCCCACCTCACAATCACTCCGTCCCACCCCGCCATCTCCTCTCCCTTTCCTCCCCGCCGTCGCCTCTCCCTTACCTCCCCGCCGTCGCCTCTCCCTCCTCCCCGCCGTCGCCTCTCCCTCCTCCCCGCCGTCGCCCCTCCCTTACCTCCCCGCCGTCGCCTCTCCCTTACCTCCACGCCGTCGCCTCTCCCTCCTCCCCGCCGCCGCGTCTCCCTCCTCCCCGCCGCTGCCTCTCCCTCCTCCCCGCCGTCGCCTCTCCCTCCTCCCCGCCGTCGCCTCTCCCTCCTCCCCGCCGCCGCGTCTCCCTCCTCCCCGCCGCTGCCTCTCACTCCTCCCCGCCGTCGCCTTTCCCTCCTCCCCGCCGTCGCCCTCCTTCCTCCCCGCCGTCGCCCTCCCTCCTCCCCGCCGTCGCTCTCCCTCCTCCACGCTGCCCGGAGTGCAAGCGCGGGTTGGTGCGCAATCGCGGGTTGGTGTGCTATCGCGGGTTGGTGCGCGAGCGGGGATTGTTTTCTGAGGCACCGTGTTATCAGGTGCGTTCCCGGTCCTTTCATCCTCCCTCCCCCCTCTGAAATTTCCTTTTTTCTCTTGCTCTATTCGTAAATACTGTGTGTCAATTGGTCTCCTCTTGCATTGCACTTTCATTTGAAGAAGGGGAGAGACGGAGCGCGAGGGAGGGCGTGTGCACGCGAGCGAACGCGCAGGAGAGAACGCGTGAGAGAGCGCTCGAGAGAGCGCGTGAGAGAGCGCGTGAGAGAGCGCGTGAGAGAGCGCGTAAAAGAGCGCCTAAGAGAGCGCGTGAGAGAGCGCGTGAGAGTGCGCGTGAGAGAGCGCGTGAGAGTGCGCGTGAGAGTGCGCGTGAGAGAGCACGCGAGAGAGTGCGCGAGAGAGTGCGCGAGAGAGAGCGTGAGAGAGCGCGTGAGAGAGCGCGTGAGAGAGCGCGTGAGAGAGCGCGTGAGTGTGCGCATGAGAGAGCGCGTGAGAGAGCGCGTGAGAGAGCGCGTGAGTGTGCGCATGAGAGAGCGCGTGAGAGAGCGCGTGAGAGCGCGTGAGAGAGCGCGTGAGGGAGCGCGTGAGAGAGCGCATGAGAGAGAGTGTGAGAGAGCGCGCGTGAGGTTGCGTATGAGAGAGTGCGTGAGAGAGCTTGAGAGAGAGCGCGAGAGAGAGCGCGTGAGAGAGCGCGTGAGAGTGCGCGTGAGAGAGCGTGTGAGAGAGCGAGTAAGAGAGCGAGTGAGAGAGCGCGTGAGAGAGCGCGTGAGAGAGCGCGTGAGAGAGCGCGTGAGAGAGCGCGCGAGGGAGCGCGTGAGAGAGCGCGTGAGAGAGCGCGTGAGAGAGCGCGTGAGTGTGCGCATGAGAGAGCGCGTGAGAGAGCGCGTGAGAGTGCGCATGAGAGCGCGTGAGAGAGCGCGTGAGAGAGCGCGTGAGAGAGCGCGTGAGGGTGCGCATGAGAGAGCGCGTGAGAGAGCGCGTGAGAGCGCATGAGAGAGCGCGTGAGGGAGCGCGTGAGAGAGTGCATGAGAGAGAGTGTGAGAGAGCGCGCGTGAGGTTGCGTATGAGAGAGTGCGTGAGAGAGCGTGAGAGTACGCGTGAGAGTGCGCGTGAGAGAGCGCGTGAGAGAGCGCGTGAGAGAGAGAATGCGCGTGAGAGTGCGCGAGAGAGAGCGCGTGAGAGTGTGCCTGAGAGTGCGCATGAGAGAGCGCGTGAGAGTGCGCGTGAGAGTGCGCGTGAGAGAGCGCGTGAGAGAGTGCGTGAGAGAGGGCGTGAGAGAGTGCGCGAGAGATTGCGTGTGAGAGCGTGTGAGAGAGCGCGTGAGGGTGCGTATGAGAGAGCGCGTATGAGAGAGCGCGTGAGAGAGCGCGTAAGAGAGCGCGAGTGTGCGCGTGAGAGTGCGCGTGAGAGAGCGCGTAAGAGAGCTCGTGAGAGAGCGCGCGAGAGAGTGCGTGAGAGAGTGCGCGAGAGAGAGCGTGAGAGAGCGCGTGAGAGTGCGCGTGGGAGTGCGCGTGAGAGTGCGTGTGAGAGTGCGCGTGAGAGTGCGCATGAGAGTGCGCGCGAGAGAGCGCGTGAGAGAGCGCGTGAGAGAGAGCACGTGAGAGAGCGCGTGAGAGAGCGCGTGAGAGAGAGAATGTGCGTGAGAGTGCGTGAGAGAGAGCGCGAGAGAGAGCGCGTGAGAGAGCGCGTGAGAGTGCGCGTGAGAGAGCGTGTGAGAGTGCCCGTGAGAGAGCACGTGAGAGAGCACGTGAGAGAGCACGAGAGGGTGCGTGTGAGAGTGCGCGTGAGAGTGCGCGTGTGAGTGCGCGTGAGAGTGCGCGTGTGAGTGCTCGTGAGAGTGCTCATGAGAGTGCGCGTGAGAGTGCGCGCGAGCGACTTGAGAGACTCGTGAGAGAGCGCGTGAGAGAGCGCCTGAGAGAGCGCGTGAGAGAGCGCGTGAGAGAGTGCGTGAGCGTGCGTGAGAGCGTGCGTGAGAGAGCGTGTGAGAGTGCGCGTGAGAGTGCGCGTGAGAGAGCGCGCGAGAGAGCGCGCGAGAGAGTGCGCGAGAGAGTGCGCGAGAGAGAGCGTGAGAGAGCGCGTGAGAGAGCGCGTGAGAGAGCGCATGAGGGTGCGCATGAGAGCGCGTGAGGGAGCGCGTGAGGGTGTGCATGAGAGAGCGCGTGAGAGAGCGTGTGAGAGAGCGCGTGAGTGTGCGCATGAGAGAGCGCGTGAGAGCGCGTGAGAGCGCATGAGAGAGCGCGTGAGGGAGCGCGTGAGAGAGCGCATGAGAGAGAGTGTGAGAGAGCGCGCGTGAGGTTGCGTATGAGAGAGCGCGTGAGAGAGCGCGTGAGAGTGCGCGTGAGAGAGCGTGTGAGAGAGCGAGTAAGAGAGCGCGTGAGAGAGTGCGTGAGAGAGCGCGTGAGAGAGCGCGTGAGAGAGCGCGTGAGAGAGCGCGCGAGGGAGCGCGCAAAGGAGCGCGTGAGAGAGCGCGTGAGAGAGCGCGTGAGAGAGCGCGTGAGAGAGCGCGTGAGAGAGCGCGTGAGTGTGCGCATGAGAGAGCGCGTGAGAGAGCGCGTGAGAGTGCGCATGAGAGCGCGTGAGAGAGCGCGTGAGAGAGCGCGTGAGAGAGCGCGTGAGAGAGCGCGTGAGAGAGCGCGTAAGAGAGCGCCTGAGAGAGCGCGTGAGAGGGCGCGGAGCGCGTAAGAGAGCGCGTGAGAGAGCGCGTGAGAGAGCGCGTGAGAGTTCGCGTGAGAGAGCGCGTGAGAGTGCGCGTGAGATTGCGCGTGAGAGAGCACGCGAGAGAGTGCGCGAGAGAGTGCGCGAGAGAGAGCGTGAGAGAGCACGTGAGAGAGCGCGTGAGAGAGCGCATGAGGGTGCGCATGAGAGCGCGTGAGGGAGCGCGTGACGGTGTGCATGAGAGAGCGCGTGAGAGAGCGCGTGAGAGAGCGCGTGAGTGTGCGCATGAGAGAGTGCGTGAGAGAGCGCGTGAGAGCGCGTGAGAGAGCGCGTGAGGGAGCGCGTTAGAGAGCGCATGAGAGAGAGTGTGAGAGAGCGCGCGTGAGGTTGCGTATGAGAGAGTGCGTGAGAGAGCTTGAGAGAGAGCGCGTGAGAGAGCGCGTGAGAGGGCGCGTGAGAGTGCGCGTGAGAGAGCGTGTGAGAGAGCGAGTAAGAGAGCGCGTGAGAGAGCGCGTGAGAGAGCGCGTGAGAGAGTGCGTGAGAGAGCGCGCGAGGGAGCGCGTGAGAGAGCGCGTGAGAGAGCGCGTGAGAGAGCGCGTGAGTGTGCGCATGAGAGAGCGCGTGAGAGAGCGCATGAGAGTGCGCATGAGAGCGCGTGAGAGAGCGCGTGAGTGTGCGCATGAGAGAGCGCGTGAGAGAGCGCGTGAGAGCGCATGAGAGAGCGCGTGAGGGAGCGCGTGAGAGAGTGCATGAGAGAGAGTGTGAGAGAGCGCGCGTGAGGTTGCATATGAGAGAGTGCGTGAGAGAGCGTGAGAGTACGGGTGAGAGTGCGCGTGAGAGTGCGAGTGAGAGAGCGCGTGAGAGAGTGAATGCGCGTGAGAGTGCGCGAAAGAGAGTGCGTGAGAGTGTGCCTGAGAGTGCGCATGAGAGAGCGCGTGAGAGTGCGCGTGAGAGTGCGCGTGAGAGTGCGCGTGAGAGAGCGCATGAGAGAGTGCGTGAGAGAGGGCGTGAGAGAGTGCGCGAGAGAGTGCGTGTGAGAGCGTGTGAGAGAGCGCGTGAGGGTGCGTATGAGAGAGCGCGTATGAGAGAGCGCGTGAGAGATCGCGTGAGAGAGCGTGAGTGTGCGCGTGAGAGTGCGCGTGAGAAAGCGTGTGAGAGAGCTCGTGAGAGAGAGAGTGCGCAAGAGAGTGTGCGTGAGAGTGCGCGTGAGAGTGTGCGTGAGAGTACGCATGAGAGTGCGCGCGAGCGACTTGAGAGACTCGTGAGAGAGCGCTTGAGAGAGCGCGTGAGAGTGAGCGTGAGATTGCGCGTGAGTGTGCGCGTTTAGGTGCGTCTGAGGTAGCGCGTGAGGGAGCGCGTGAGGGAGCGCGTGAGGGAGCGCGTGAGGGAGCGCGTGAGGGAGCGCGTGAGGGAGCGCGTGAGGGAGCGCGTGAGAGAGCGCGTGAGAGAGCGCGTGAGAGAGCGCGTGAGAGCGCGTGAGAGAGCGCATGAGCATGCTGGGGCGTTGGCACTAGCGTATTTTCTGCTGGTGCTTGGGCAACTGGGGCTACTTATACAAATGAGTGTCCCTTTCTGCACTAGAGTGCCGGCTTTTAAGCTGTTGGCGCCTCAGACGCTCATTTAGGATGCTGGCAACTAGCCGGCTAGTGCCTAACACGCTCGTGCAGCGGGCTGTAACGCTTGGGCGCTGGCATGGTACCTAGTGTGCCACGCCTGAAGCGCTAGCGTCATGGCCTTTGGCCTTTTTGCTTTCTTGTATCAGCGTGTGAACATACACTGTTTTTTGTGCAAGGTGTGCTGTTGCTTTCTCTGTTCTTGCTATCTTGTGCAGGGCGTGTGTGTGTTGACTTCTCGGTTTTATTTTTGTGTAGGGCATGGGGGTGTTGACGTCTCTGTATTTGCTTTGTGCAGGGCTTGTGTGTGCTGACTTCTCTGTTTTTGCTTTGTGCAGGGCGTGTGTGTGTTGACGTCTCTGTTTTTGCTTTGTGCAGGGCTTGTGTGTGTTGACTTCTCTGTTTTTGCTTTGTGGAGGGCGTGTATGTGTTGACTTCTCTGATTTTGCTTTGTGCAGGGCGCGTGAGCTAAGAAGGGAGATGAGGGAAGGAGGGAGGGAGGGTTGTAGAGAGGGTAGGTGGAATAGGCTAGCAAATATTTATGCATTTCTAAATTTTATTCATGACGGTTGCGTGTTTATTACGGTCTCTGTATCTATCTGTGGTTGTTTGCGTGTGTGTCAGTGTGTTCGTGTGCTTATGTGTGTGTGTACGTGCGCGTGTGAGCCCGTGTGTGCGATATGTGCGTTTGTTTGTTTGCACTTGTCTGTTTCGTGTATGCATTTGATGTGTGATGCTAAAGTGTGCCGGGTCTGCATTTGAGGTGGGGATCGTTGTTGGGGCAGCGTTGCTTGCCTTAGCATACCGGAACCACCACTGATGTAGCACCGATGCATTTTAGCATTCACTTCACTCGCACTTGTTATGTGTTGTTTTTGCACGTGTTGTGCAACTGATGTGTGATGTTTAAGTGTATCGGGTCTGCATTTGAGGTGGGGATCGTTGTTGGGGCAGCGTTGCTTGCCTTAGCATACCGGAACCATCTCTGTTGTAGCACCGATGCATTTTAGCATTCACTTGCAGTTGTTATGAGTTGTTTTTGCTCGTATGTTCCTAAACCCTTGCATTCATGACTTGGGTTTTTTCTCGTCAATTGTGTTTGGTGACGACCCATTGTTCCATTCGCCGTATTCATCGACGATTATGGAATGATATGTTGAATTATATTGCATATCCTAACTGCCTACAGCTTGCTAGTGTATTAGTTAGTTATTAGGTTCAACTGCTGGTGGTGTACCCTATCCTCTCCCCTATCCTATATCTTGTAAACATTCCTTAGTGAATGACCCTCTTTGCCCAATTCTCTTGCCATGCTCACTCTCGACACTCACGCTTCCTAGGTAAACCCTAAGTTACTAAGTCAAGAGTTAAGAGCGTGTTCTGACATGATAGGTCACATTTGGTTCCACCTTTTTGGAGACTCATGTGTTCAGTGCTGTCATCTCCACACATTTGAAACACTCGTTATGAAAATGTTGAAACGAGTGGGTCACACGTTGGGAAAATTACAAAAACTGCACTGTTCATTTGAGTCGACCCAAAAGTGCTACCAAATGTATAGGGTTGCTACGCAACCCAAAAAACATATATGTCATTTTATAAACGCCGGCGCTTATAAATTTACTCGATTATAAGCCCACCACCCTAGAAAAACCTGCTTTATTATTGCCCCCCATGGGGGTATATCCGGGGTATGACGGTAACGTTCATGGATGGGTGCTGATGGCGGGAACGGTTATGTACGCGGTAAGCAGGGACGCGACGTAAGGAAAAGGAATTTTCCTTACAGGTCACATGAAATGTGAGTGAAGGTCTTACTGACTGCACATTAGCTTCTAATATAACAACAGAATTTTTATGAAGGCATCCGGATGTGTAAGTTTTGGGAAGATCATAGCTCGTGCACAATCAATACCTGGTACACCGCCAAGTACGTATAACTCTGCTAACCAGTAGCCCACAACACTGCAAGAATGCAAGTCAACACTATCATGCTCCCTAGCACACACTAGTTGTTGTTGACATCTTGCAAATTATCACCCACTCCATACGTTTCCTACAGTGCAAGGTTCAAGTCGATCCGAACCTTGCTTTCGTTTTGGTCTTCCACATCAGTGTCTTGGTTTCCACCACCTTCCGCAGCAAGCCTACTGGGAACACCATCTAAGGAAGGCCTTACAGATGGTAGGGATTGGTCGTCACGTCGACTCCAACCTACCGAACTTGGCGTGGCCTGCGCACCACGTAGCGTAACCTGCTCTGCCGCAACACGGCCTTGGGGTGACGTTTCCCTGGCGCCAGCACTAGCAGCCGCTGCAGCGACTACTGCTGCTGCTGCAAGAGACGTGGCAAAAGAGCTTGTTGCATGCAGGGGGCTATGAGGCGCATGCACCATGCTTGGTAGCGCTGAAGCGGACATTGTGGCAGCGGCAGCTGCAGCAGCAGCCGCTGCAGCGGCAGCAGAAGCAGGAGAAGCAGAAAGTGCCGCTAAAAAGGGCATCTGGGAGAAAGCATAAGGGGAAAGATTCAGCGCAGCGGTGACTGAAGCAGCTGCAGCAGCAGCGGTGGCAGGGAGTTGCTGAGGGGTGCTACTGGCACCTGAGTTGAAGGAAGCCCAGTGTGCGTTTGCAACAGCTGCAGCAGCAGCAGAGGAGAGGGGGCCATCTGCACCAGGGACAGCTGTGGCTGCTAGAGCATGCGCAAAGGGAGATAGGCCTGCAGCAAGGGGCGTGGATGCCCCTCCACTGGACCTTTCCAGCTGACACCATGCTCTTGCTGACACCAGCTCTGGCGCCGACAGGTCCGACGGGTCTGGGCACGGGAGAGATGGAAAGACGGCAGGAAAGGGCGGGGAGGAGAAGTGAGATTCCAAGCACACTGGCGGACTAGAAAAAACAGATGTTTCCACCCCTGCGGCTCGGTGCTTACCTGATTTGAATTGCACTGTGGGCTGGCTGCTCTCCGATGCCTGCACCAACCGCTGTCGCTGCATTCCCATCGGGCTCCACTCCAGCTCCTCCCCGCCATCACCTCGACCACCCCTCGCCTCAAACCCTCTGCCCACTCTCTCTCTGCTGCTGCCCACACCAATGCCCGATCCCAGGTCTGCCCTCCCCCCCCCAACCATCTGCTGTCGTGCGGCTGCACTGCTCCGCTCCTGCAAACTGTGCCCCCCCACGTCCCTACCACTGCCTCGCATCACACCCATGCTACCTGCGCCACCCAGGCCCAGGCCAAGCAGCGACCCTAGGACGGGCTCTGCTACCGTTGCCGCTGCATGCGCGTGCGCGGATGGCACTGTTCCCCCGATTGCCGCTGCTCCTGCGCCTGCACTGGCCAAGTAGGCAGCCGCTGCTGCAGAAGCGGCGTGTGTAAGGGGCGCCCCTGAAGGGATGGCAGCAGGGGGTGCAGTGAGGCCGAGGGGCGTGGCAGCAGGCACAGCGGGCGGTGCGATGGAGGTGGGACCTGCCATGGCAAACGCGGTGCTGCCGCCCGACCCCATGTCGCTGAAGCTGTAGCTCGCGAAGTTGGAGCGGCGGCGCTTGGTGTGCGCCGTCATGTGGCCTCCCAGCGCCTGTGCGTTGGTGAAGCGCATGCCGCAGTCCTTGCACTTGTACCCCTCCTCACCACACCACAACCGCCCCTTGCTCCCCCCTCCCCCCCCAGCCCCGGTGGTCCCTGTTGCCGTTGATCCTCCCCCAGCCCTTCCGCTTCGACTCACGCTCGCCCCGCCCCCACCTACAGTTTCCGACCCGCGCCGTCCTCCCACGTCTGCGGCGCTGCCGCCATACCCAGCTCCGCCCGCCCTCCCCTCCGCTGCAACTGCTGCAGCGGTGGGGGCAGGGGGTGGGTCGCGGTACGATGCGGCGCGGGGGAGAGGTGGGGGCACTTTGTGGCTCATGAGCGAGAAGTCGAAGCTGGACACGCGGCGAGGACGCACCCCGTGGGGCGACAGCAGCGCGCCCCCGCTTGGATGCTGGGCGGGCAACCGCGGCAGCAGAGGGGGACTCGGTTGCGCCACTGGCTGCGCCTCCGCCAGCTCTTGCGCCGTCTGCCGTTGGTGGGTTGACGGTGCAATGCCAGCAGCTGCAGCGGAAACGAGCGCCGCTGCGTTGATCTGCTGCTGCGCTAATTGCCACCCAGGCCCGCTACTCTCCGTGCGCGGAGTAAGAAACGTTGCTCCGCGCTTCACCCCCGTCTCCCCGCCGCCATTGCCACTGTCCGTGGCGTTTCCCCCCGCGCCCCTCAGCAAGGCCGCGATGCGCTCCTCAGCACCGCCGAACCTCGCGCCCGCGCCTGCAGCGAGCAGCCCCTGCCACTCCAGGCGCGCTAAGCCCAGCGGCCCCGCCATGCGCTCGTCGCCCGCGGCGAACGTGTTGCTGTTGTGCGACGACACCTCCCCCAGCAGCCGCCCCTCCGTGCGCGCACGCCGTAGCCGCGTGTGCCACTGCCACCCGTGCTCCCCTCCGCCTGCCGCGTCCGCGGTGGCCTCGCGCTGCTCGTCCTCCGGCCCAAGGGCATGGGGCCCCCTCTCATCGCCACCCCGTGCGCCCAAGCCCGTCCCCGCGTCAGCGACGGGCGGAAGCCGCCTGTGCATGAGCAAGCTCGAGCCGTCGGGACCATTCCACCCCCCGGAGGCAGCCACAGTTGTGGCGGGAGCTGCCGCCGCAGCGCTGCTCGCGGTGGCGGCGGAGCTGGCCACACCAGTCGAGCCGCCCAGGAAAGGTGGCGGCGGCGGCTGCGGGAATTGCGGAGCCTGGGGCCCCCGTGCGAAACTCATATGGACGCGGTCGCGCTGCGTAATATGCGGGCCCACGGGGCGCGGGAGAGCGGGGGTAAGTGGCGGCGGCGACTCCGTGGTGTGCGCGTTTTTTACAGGCTGCGGGAAGCGCGATTCGGGGGACAGCCCCTGGCGGTCTAGGTCAGCACAGGCTTGTGGCACGAGAGACGGAGCAGCGAGACGAGCGCCACTAGCGATTCGCCTGATCTCGGTCGGCAATGCCGCATCCGCCGGCTCGCCACGTCGTCCTGACAACTTACCGCGGGACGGTTCGCTGTTCTTGCCGCTGCCGCCGCTTCCCTGACCTGCGAACTTCGCAGTGCTCAGTCTCGCGACACCCGCACTGGACGGTGAGGAAAAAGACCGCGACGGTCGTTCCCGCCCTTGCACCTCGTCGTCGCCGTCGTCGTCGTCGTCGTCTTCGTCGGGGAGGCCTCGGCCTCGCTTAAAACCGGGACGCGGCGAGGCAGATTCGTCAGCGGGAAGAGGAAACGTGAAGGTGCGAACCGTCAGATTCCCGTCACCGGTCTGATCATCGCGATGCGCCGTCGCAGTCGCCGCAGCGTCCGCGACGTCCATGGCGACGGCGGGAAGGCTCTCGACGAAGGTGTCGCGAGCTCGCTGCCTCGAGGACGGCAAAAGAGCGCGTGGAGGACCAAGGGAAAGATTCAAGCTAGCCGTCGCAGCAGGTACGAGCAGCGCGTCGTCAGCAGGTCCGACGGAGTGGAGGGACGAATACGCCGCTCGCGGATGCGCTTCGCCGCCAGAGTCGCCGCACCACGTGAAGTTAGGATCGCCCGCGACCACGAGATCGTCTGGAAAAGACGCCCGGCGAACCACTGGCGGAAGTCGCTGCCGAGCGTCTGATCCGCCACGGATCACTGGCGCACTCTTGTGGGGATCCTCTACGGGCTCCATTGCGAGGTCGATTGAACGCTGCTGTAGCCGCTGGCCAAATAGGAACACCACTGGCGGGGACCTCGAGCTCCCCTCACACCTTCGCTGCCCGCTTGCGGCAATCCCGCCTGAAGCGTTTAGCTCAGTGGTAATATGGCTAATACGATCCCTCTGACTAAAGCTATTGCAGACGCGGTCTGAAAGCTTAGAGTGACGTGGATGGTCCTCTGTCTGACAGGACGGACCTGATGCGAGGGAATCCTGCTTAAATATGGTGTTAGAGTTTCCGTTCCACGCGTTTGGATAGGCCATAGAAATGCTTTACGTAGACCAGGAAGAAGTCGAAAGAATCCAGCGTGACTGCTGTAGGGGATGCCACTCCAAGGATAGTGAAGCCACTGTGTCATAAGGCAAGCAAATATGGAATCTGGAGCTGGAGATGGCGTGCGAGCACGATTGGTGTGCATGCTGTGCTCGAGCGATGGGAGGAGTGGCCTGTGGGCGGCGCTGTGCTGGTTCCACACCACCTGTGCGAGGAGGGGGATGGCTTGCGCGGAGTACGCAAGGGCCACCTGGGGGTGGGGGAAGGGCATTCGGTGCGAGCGGCAGGCGGTGTGTTCCAGAAACCGCGCAACGACAACTGGAATGGCGCACTTCCCCCACCAAACGCAGGAAGGTACCTCCTCTCCATCCGAGTCCTCCCTTGTCATTGGGAGACAAGCCAACCACGCACATAACGACACCCAGACGAGTGGTCACTATCAAACTCAGCAATTCATAAAAAAGGCGGTGAAAATGTACAGTTTGAATAACAAGCTACAGTTACTTACTGCACAGAAACGTTGTCGTCAGAGTTTCGCGAGGAGGGAGTCAAATTCCGTGAAGGAGCCCAACTGCTGTAGACCTGTGCTGCTCGACCGCGAGCCACCGACAGGTGAATCTGGAGCAATGGTTTTGAGAAGCTAAAACCCTGGTTTTGATCTTGCCCGAAGGACCACGTCCGCTGACGCAAATATTGTTTTTTTGGGGGCCATCTTGGCCGCTGGGGAAGGGATCGGGAGCAATATGATGTGTGCAAAGTTTGTGAGTTTAGGGGAGGTGATGTGTGGGAGTGGAACCCTCGGTGGCATGAAATTTTATGGAAACTGCTTCTCGAATTTCAGTACAGGAAGAGATGGAAAAGGAGAGGGGGTCTGCGGGGAGGGGGGGTGGAGGCTAGAAATTTCACTACGACCGGATTGGCTAAGCTTTTACCACCATGATCTGTCCAGCCAGGGAAAACAATTTCCAGTGGAAATAAGTCCATTGAAGCTCAATGCAGTTCTGGCTGTAAAAGCTGGCAAAACCTCGACCGAAGTCAGAGCTTAGCTGGAGTTAATGTCTGACTTACCCACTAACAAAAGCAGAAAATATTCGGTCTGGTCAGTTTGAAGTGTGCTCTGGCATTTACAGACAGTGTGTGAAGAATAGGTGGAGGATACTGACAGAACTGTTTCTATTCTAGTGGGAAAAGTAGGGAGGATCTATTGTATTAGTTCGTGTAGTTATGACTGGCTCTGCTTTCCGATGGGTATTATGTTCTTAGGGCAACGATATATATAGACGGCAAAAGCTATTCTAGCAACTTTAACTAGCTCTGAGCCCATTCATCACGTCCCCAACCCAACCCCTTTTTCAATTGTTCTGAAATTATGACCACGTAGGAAAACAAGAAACAAACAAGAGTGTGGTTTCAAGGTTGGGCGGAGGTCTGCCAGACTGCCTGCCAGCCAACTCGCTCATATCTGATGCACCAGACTAGAAGCATCAGCACACCCGCCCAGAGCCTCAAAAGGAGTCGATGCGACAAGCAGCACGGTGTCGTTTGATGTTCAAATCATAAGAGCGTATCGGGGTGTCATATTTGTTCTGAGTTCCCTGCAAAGGTTTAGAGAGTAGTTGGAAATACTGACTTTGAATGATTATGTCAACGAATACACACACCTATTGTACCGAAATTACTGTACTGAAGAAAGTTCCTGAAAAAAAAAACACAAAAAAAAAACACACACACAAAAAGTAAACTCACAAGTCCAATCTAGCTAGCACTTTGTATGAACTGTAAGCAAAGAACATGAACTCAATGTAAAATATCTGCACACCACATTGTTTAGACGTCATAGTTTAGAGCTCCTTTAAACATAAATGTTTTTAGTAGGAAAAACATATGACGCAATCTGTTATTTCCCAAGAGCTTACATGGTTTTGGGTTACCATTTCAGTGACAGCTCTATAAAATATACGGTAAACCTAGAGCTGAATGAGTGAATAGGTCCACATTAGCTGGCTAACTACCTTGATAAAAGATGCAAATATTGGCAAGGACCAATTTCACTGTCTTAGGGATATTCTGATGTGGAACATCGAGAGTCCGGAAAAGCAATACGGGTAAATAGTATTGTCGTTGTGAGAAAATAGGGGGATGTCTGGAGAGTACAGCACAATTTAATGTTTACGCATGCCAAGTGATTCGATTGTTGTGGATCATCTTTTGACAAGGCGATTCTCCAAATCCTTAATTTTGGTCGGCACTGGAGTTGGCTTAAGCTTGCCGGTCTGGGAAAAGATATATTTTGCCTGGTACAGAATGGTCTCTGGTGGCTCCTGAGTTTCGGTCATCATTACAGCCACAAGGTAGCCATGTGATCATTACAACAAGTAGGGTATGTCCCATCACCTCGACGATATATATATATACATATATATATATATTTTGAATCATGCTTCGTTACATTTCAACAAGCATACAGACATGCATAAACCCTTCCTAGAAGTGTCTTACTACCTCAAACATCAAAAGACCATCGCCAAAACCCGAAACAAAGTATTGCTTCCTAAGACATCTACAGCCGCATGTCGACCAAGTAGGGCACGTCCACCCATGGTGCTCCCTCTCCAAACTCCTGCTCCCCACCCCCTCGCTCCACCCACTCCGCCTCGGACTGACCCAACGTGTATGCCGCCCGCAAAAGAATCACCCAAGCCTGTGCCTTCTGCAAAGCTACCCCTACCGCGGCTGTCAAGGACCCCACCAAGTATTCCGAGAAACCCGAGCTGTTGCCCCTTCCCACACCTTTGTTAAGAGCCACCTTTACTTGAACCTCCCCCTGCTGCCGTAACCACTGTCCAAAGCTTCCCCCCAAGCAACCCCAAGTCTCAAGAATCAACGGGAAGAAACGAACCCCCCTGTGCTGCCGCAGAAAAGGTTGATAATCCGTCGCCTTCCTCTTCTCTCGCTCCTTGGCAGCAAAACCTACTGTCCGCCCACACTGCCCATGCTGCTGCACCGGTAGCGAAACCGGATCCACGACGCTCACCTCGAGCGCATGTTTTTCCCCGTCCATTGGTTTCCTAACCGCCACATCCACTCTCTTCCCCGGCAGAAGCGTGTCATCCTCGATCGTAACCACCCCACCCGATGCCTTGGCTATCTTAGCAACAACGAGCTTCACTGCATCATGAACACGAGACGGGGCGTACTGGTACTTGCACCGAAGAGCATGGTGCGGATCTGACGGGTCCTTGAACTCCACACCGCAAACACACTTGCCAGCAACCAGAAGCTGGTGGACGGGAAGGCCCAAACGGATTGCCGCCGAAATGCCCCACTCCACAGGGGTGAAAGTTGCGTCATCATGCGCTGGAACTGCGGACACCCATGCTGCCGAACCCGGGCCCTGAAGGGAAGTCAAACGGGCCAAGGTAGCATCATCGCGGGCCATGCGCCGCAGAGACTGAAGACTTTCAACCGCCAAGCGACGCTGCTGCGCTGGGAAAAGCTGGAGGGGGGGATTTGTAGTGCAGAGCCCCAAACTCGGCAATTCTTGCCTGACAACAGGCGGGAGCTGGTCAAGGGCCTTGGTAAACCAAGGGTCCAGTAAATCCCCAGCCGGCGGAGTGCGGAAGAACTCACTGAACATCTGCTCCTCGCCCGCTACTCCCAGCTTGACAACAGCACTCGCAGCCTGGCACCACCCACAGACGTAAGAGAGAGGGCTAAGAGTTGCTGCTGAACGAATGCCAAACCCGCCCCAACGAGCCGGGAGGTGCAGCTGCAGGTGAGCCATGCGCGACCTATCAGGACTGAAGTCCCAAGTGTCTGGCGGAAAAGTTGCTCAAAGCACTCTTCCAAAGCCCCATCCCAATCTCTGAAAGCGTCAAGAACTTCAGGACGAGGGGGAACAGTGCGAGTCAAGAAGAGCGGCCGCGCAGACACGGCAACAGCCAACAAGTGGGAGGCAATCTGGGGGTGGTTCAAAATAGGAAGCCAAGGTAGAGGTGATCGCAGCTGCAAAAGTCCCTCCCTCAAGCGCGCCACCTCCCAATCCTCCTCTCCAATAGGTACCCCCACCACTGTTAACCCCGTCCACGACTGCTGCATTCCCAGCGGAATATCCCCAGACGCTGCCGCCCCCCCTCTTTCCCACATCCTACACTTGTGCGATTGCACCTCCAAGCCCACCCACTCCAGTCGCTCCCGCAAGACATCGTACGCCGCCAACACCCGCTCCCGCGGGCCAAGAACGTAGTTGTCATCAGCGTAGCTCAAGAAAAGAAGATCAGGGAAATCCTTCATTGTAGGCCCCATAACCAACTGCTGCGTGAAAGCAAAAAGGAAGGGACCAAATGGATCCCCCTGTCGCGAACCCCGCTCGGACGCCAGCATCTCGACAAAGGGGCCTGTGCGAAGGTACAGACCGCTGGGCACCCCATAAAAGACGCGTAAGAAAGGGATAAGGCCAGCAAAAGGAGAATCGCGGAGGCCGTCGAACATCACGTGCCGATGGAACGAGTTGAAGGCATTCGCTACATCGATCTGCAGCGCGCACCACGTCGGATGAACCGCTACAGCCGAGCGGAAAGCATGCGCCAGAATCTCCACCCCCGACTTAGTCCCCACCCCTAGTTGGTTACAAGGAGCGAAGTAGGTCTCCATGTCGGGACGAAGAAGAACGCATAACGCACGCGCCAGAATCCGAGGG